AAAAAAAAATAATTAAAGTATTTTTAAAGAGAAGCTTCCATTCAGACAAATACAAAATTAGCTGCTGTTACCGCTTTTAAGATAAGAGAAATTTTCAATCAATAGATATAGGGGTCAAAGGGGGAGCCATAAGTTTCCGACAAATAAGCTTACTGTAAAGCCACAATAAGGAGCTTTGCATTATAGTGGGTGGCTCGTGCTACCGAGGCGAAAGAGTTTTTTTCGAGAAGACCTTTAGCGACAAAGTCCATCATGTATTGTACGTTATTTTGCCATAATAAGTGTAACTCGTGGAAATGTATATTTGTAATGTATTTTATGGCTTTTTCAATTTCAAAGAATTGAGAAAGTCTTTCACTTAATGGTTAAAACAGGACCAGTTAAAAAAAGAAATCAGAAAAATGTGATTTTCACTTGCATGATTACAACTAGGTGTATTATGAACAGGCTTTCTTGAAAAGTATTTCCAATATTTTCTTTTACAACGGTTTTCATTTTATACACAAAATCAATTTAATTCGAATCTATATGAATAAATTGTGCTAGTGTGTTTTATTTCATCGAGTAAAAACTTCTGTGTTTAATCAGCCCAAATCCATCTTCTTAACTAACAGCTTTATTTTTATTCCTAGTTTTCTGGTCGAAATATTCACTTGACCAACTTTTTAACTTCATTTCGGATATCATTCATTCTCCATAAGTAAAGGAAGGGGTTACGTTAAGATGACAAAAATAAAACTACGATTGAAAGGTTGAGTAATAAAACGGTAAATGTGCTATCATTCGAAACAAGCTGAATTGCTAAGGCAATAACTACAGGAATGTGTCCAATATAGAAAATATATAAAGGAGCGAAAACACAGATTTCTTGTATTTTTCAAAGTTGATCGTTGGTTGGGCGAAGTTTTGGGTTATGTCATTCGACTGTATTTGCAGCTGATGGCGCGAATTATTTTGTAACCTTAAAAGTAGGCCGTAGACGTTTCAATAAGGCAAATCAGCTCACTCAAAATGGAAGAAATATCTGATTCGAGTCTGTAAGTTCCCTGAATGTTGTTCAATGCGCGATAAACAACTAATGGGATCGAAAGGAACAAAGAGCAAAGAAAAACGAAACAGGTTCGACGCACGGTAATCATTGATCTACGAGTCATGTGCAGCCATCTTTCAACGGACATGACTGCTATGATTATAACACTCACATTGGAAAAAAACGTAGTATAAGAATTGAAAAATGCCCAGGTTATGATAAAAGATGGTCTCCTTTCCACCTCGTTCAGCTGAGTATCCAGCGAGTGGATCAAATGCTTTGCAACATAAATAGGCTGCGAGTTGAGTCCAGTGTAAAAGTCAGTCAAAGCCAACGAATCCATCGAGCAGAATGTAAGAAGGTGTTCTAAGAGACGATCTCCTCCAAATTGCCGCCAAAACCAGGGCATTGACTGCTACTGGCAATAGAATGGCGACCATAAGTGAAGACGGAAGATTTATCCCGTAAACAGCGGCACCATGAGTTTTTCTTGCACTTTTAAAGTTAAAAAGACTAAGAGTGGTACAATTAGTCCCGTTATTGTTCATGGCTGTCCAGTCCCATGAAAACAGGAAAGACTAAGTACAACGCCAACTTTCAAATAAAACGTCTGACATAAATTAAGACTGTGTCAACTGCCTTTCCAATTTTATTTGCGAAATACTTGCTGTCGAATTATAGCTTTTAACATTACCGGTAGTTTTTAGTATTTATTCGTTGTCACGACTTGTTTGTTTGCTGACAATGATAGACCACATCTAGTTTCTCCGTGGAGCCAATTTATTTCCAAAAATAAGTGCAGGGCAGCTGGGTATCCTAAAGGAGATTTTCTATAACCTGTTTTGTTTCCGGCATAAATGTCTCTTGTCGCAATTCTGTTAACTACTCCTCAGAAGAAAGTAATAAAGATATCTTTTAAGCTAAGAAAATTAATTACAACGGGCGTTACCTGCTGTTATTGCTTGTTTGTTTTTTTTTTTGGAATTTCCAATTAAAACTTTCAAATGCTGGTTCTGTTCCCTATTATTTCAATTTAAGACCAGAATAATTGTATTTCTGTCATGAAAATGTAAATGTCACTATTTTAACTTCCCACGAAAAACGCATGAGATTTCAGAAAAAGAAATCGTTAAAAGGTGATAAGACTTTAGTGACATTTGTAGTGATAGTTCTTGAGTAGAGAGGAAAACCGAAGAGCCCTTGAGGAGACTGACATCGAAACTAATCCCACATTACGGGTTTTTGCAGTTATTTATTTGCAAAGAATTTATATTAATAGTATAAAGGTCTTGTCAATCTGTATTGCCGTTGGTAAAGAAGGAAAATCGTTAATTGGCCTTGTTTTTACACTTGTGTGTAAATGCGTTTATTTCAAATGACGGCATGTGAAGTTTCCGCGCGGCACTAATTAAAGTTTTTAACATAGGAAATTACTTGGCGACTGGGTGTCCAGAATTAATGAGATTTTTCTTCAATTAAATAGTATGTTAACATTCTTTCTTTATTTTTGCCAGCACCATGCAAATATAATAACGATTTGAAGGAAAGGTTTTTTAGACGTCTAATAACTGGGATTGTATTTTTTTCTCCTGTTCCTATCGTAACTTTAATTGCTATATATTTTCCTGATAATTTAAGTTTTTGATCGCAGTATTGCATGTCGTAAAAACGTTTCTTTACCGTGACCATTTGTGACGCCGGACGTTTCAATTGAGCACATTAATATATATGTACTTGCACGTGCTTTTCAGAATAGGTGGAATGCAATTGCACTTGGTTTTGGGTGTGCACGATTTTATTAAATGTGAGATTAACCTAATTAGAAAACGAATATCTTTATTGCGATAATCCGCTCAATTGAAATTTCTTTTTTGTATATATGAAGGCAATAAATATCAAATCTGAAACATTTAACGGGAGGAAACTTGAGAGATATTCAACTTGTTCTCTCTAACTAATTCTCTTTGTGGAGTATTCGTTTGATAAGAAGTTTCACTTCATTTCGAATATCTTTCATTCTCCACAAGTAGAGAAGAGGATTAAGCGAAGCAGACAGAAACATAAACAAGAAAGAAAAATTTATAGATAAGACGACTTGTTCATTGATCAAAACAGTCGATATTCTCATAGAGATGGCGACAGGGACATAACCCATGTAGAAAACAACAAGTATATAGAGGATTGAGAACACGGATTTCTTGTATTTTGTAAAGTTAATCGCTGGTTGAGCAAAGTTTTGAGACATTCCGTTTGCCTGGATTTGCTGCTGATGGCGACGAATTATTCGAAAGACTTTCAAGTAAGCTACTGAGCTGACAGTTAGCAAGAATGGGACTAGTGAACTGGAAATAACATCTACCACAGGTGTAGGAGCTCGCTTCAATCTTTGGAGCACACGATACACAGTTACTGGAATAGGAAGGAGAAATAAAGAGACAACAATGATAAAGGCTCGACGCACGTTTATCAGCGACCTTCTAGCCATGTGCAACCACCGTTCAATTGACATGACTGTCATAATAAATGCTGTACTGTGTGAAAAGAGCGTGACACAGCCATCGACCATAGCATAAGTTACAACCACGCTCCCCCTAGGTTTTAACAAGTAAATCAACTCGTTTGTGACATACATAGGCTGGCTGATGAGTCCAGTACCCAAGTCGGTGAGAGCTAATCCAGCGAGCAGAACATAGGAAGGATTTCTCAAAGATTGGTTCCTCCAAATTGCCGCCAAAATCAGACCATTAGCCACCACTGCCAGGGGCGATAAAATGGAGACGGCAACTGCTGTGGACAGAGATATCCCGTGAAAAGCTGAACCATAAATTCGCGCTATGTTTTCAAACTTGAGAAGAGGAGGCAGGGCAGAATGAGTCATATTATTATCCATGACGGTCTATTCCTTGAGCAGAAGACAGTCCTGACTTCACACTTCCTGACTTAGCTGCAGAATAAATTTTGATCGATTTTGACCTGCTTGTTCTAGTTCTAAATTTCGTTTTTTGTTTGTTTTATTTCGGATCGTTTCATTGTTTCCTTATAAATGTTGTGATGTTAAGCTTTTAAGGCCTTAGTGTCATATAATTGTCATATTTCTTTGCTGGGTCAATTTATTTCGCAGAACGAAGTGAATAGCAGCTGCCGAGGACTTTCCCATAATATTATGATGACAAGAGGTCCATTATTCGAGCTCGGGCCACAATGGTGGTCATTCAACATGTTCACAGATGATTGGGCAGTTTTGTGAGACCATGATTGTTGTATCAACTTATTAAGACTGGTTATAATTAACTATCAAAATCTAAGTTCTGGCAAGTGCTGAAAACTGTTTTGAGCCACTTTAAACCGTCTTTTATTTCTTATCGCAAGGCTACATATTCATTAATTAAATGCACTACATTATAACAACTTGAAAAAGGATGATTTCCCAAGCTCTACCAAAAGAGTGGATATATTCTTTAGAAGGCCTTTTTTTGCCTGTTTTCTTCTCACACAAGAATGTTTTTTTTTTTCTAGCTTTAGGTTTTTGTGCAGTTATTAACTATACTTTTATAACTATTTTATTATTATAACTATTCTATTATTGTTTATGATTTGTGTACCCGGGCTCGTTTCTCGAGAGCCCAGTAACTTTTCGGGCTCGCAAGGCCATTTTTAGATAATCTGTATCTAAAAACAGAGAGGTGTATACGACTGAAACTCCTTGTGTGAAGAGAACCTTCGTTCATATTAAGAATATCTGAATAAAACAGGTCTGTAATCATAAGATTTGAGATTTTGCTACGGCTTTCCGGGTTAGAAAACTTTTCGGGACCTTCGAGAAACGGGCCCTAAGGCCGTTATGAAAACCGCATATTTGCTGTATGCGCCCTGTTTAAAAATTATTATTAGTAGTATCTAGAAAATTTAATTCAAAAACGGACTGAATACACTGGGTTGAAAGGGTTGTAATGCCAAGTTGCTGAGATTTCGTTAAATGTTAATACGTTTTACTTTATACCGTGAGCTAGGACTTGTGATTACTGGGAAAGGTAAAAAGTGTAACAAAGTTCATTTACCTAGTTGCTTTTACAGAATATTCGTTTACGGAGCTGTGCCACTTCATCTCTAAGATCTTTCATTCTACATAAGAAAATCAGAGGGTTAAGTGAGGAAGACAAAAACCCTAGCAACGCAGACACATTGAAAAACAGCAACTCTACGTCAGGGTGTGTCAACACAAAGGATGACATAATTAGTGGTATCAGTATGGGAAGGTAAGATATATAAAAAATTGCTATGATATAAAGAATTGAACACACAGATCTTTTGTACTTCACAAGGTTGATTGCTGGTTGAGCAGTGTTTTGCGCCAATGTATTTACCTGGATTTGCTGCTGATGCCGACAAATTATTCGAAAAACATTGAAGTACGAAACTGAAGTAACCATGATACAAAGAATTAAAAGGATTACAGTAACAAATTGCGATTCATTTGTGTAGTAGTAGACTGCTGACGGCAGCATAAAGGACAGGAGTAGCAGAACAATAAAGCAGACTCGACGAACAGTAAGCCAGGATCGACGAGTCATGACCAGCCATCGTTCTATTGACATCAGTGTTATCACCGACACAGTAACCTGAACAAAATATGTGGCAAGACCGTCGCCGATAGCCTTTGTTGTCAGGTAAAACTTTGGCCAGCTGGTTGTGTCATGATAGTTAAACCGAGGATCTGCAAGGTAGATCAATTGATTTGCCACAAAAAAAGGCTGGGAGATGAGTCCAGTGCAAAAGTCGGTGAAAGCCAATCCTGCGAGCAGAATGTAACAAGGGGTTCTCAGAGACGACTTGCTCCAAAGTGCCACCAAAACCAGACCATTTGCCACCACTGCAACGGGCGATAACACAGCAATGGGAATCAAAAGTGACAGATTCACCACATACCAAGTATAGCTGTCGTGTTTCGCTTCATGGTCAAAATTAGACGGCTGGTGAAAAAATGCGCTTGTGTTGTTTGACATGGAGACTTCGCGAGTTCGACTCTCCCGTAGCAATCTTTTCTCACAAACAAAGCTCTTCTAGATAAGTTGTAGAGTTATGGAAAAGACCGGAATTTAACGTGTCCCATATAGCACCGAAAACGAAACCCGCTGAGCAAAGTTAATTTTACTCAGTTAACTCTTGTTCAAAGATAGGACATATTTTCTGTGGAGAAAGAATAAAACAATGTAACGTACTTTTCCCTGTAGATTAAATGCTTTGTTTTGAATTATTTCTTTCAGGATGTATTTCAAAGTTTAATGAAATGAACATGATTGAGATGACAGTATGGCACTGCTGAGATAATGAAATCTACAGCTGAAACTTAAATAAGTGAACTCGTTGTTTTTGCAACCAAGAATGAAACCCGTCAGTCACACACACATTTCAATTAAATCTTGAAATCTCAATTTAGTATAATTGTTTGATGATAAAGGAAGTTTTTAATTACTTTCGTTGATTGAAACCAAGCGAGCTTTGTGTAGCGGATTTCACTAGCTTGGCATCGATACAAAACGTCTGGTTATGTAGTGTCGATTTGTAATTATTTCTTGATTTAAAAAAAAAGTAAAATAAACGCCTGCCTGCTAGTTATGATATTGTCAATTTTGGAATATCTCTCTATAAACATAAAAATTAATCAACATAGGTTTTTATAAACTACGACTAAATTATGAGCATAGCTGGACATTGATTTAATTATATTTAACCAGAAAGGTCTGGAGTGATGGGGAATAATAACATCAAAAATTAATTACACGACGAAGATATTGGCGTTTTTTTTATTGATTTTCTGGGACAGGGAGGTGGATGGTTTAAGACAATAGAACCTTTGTGAACAAGAAAAGTAATCTTTGAGGCTAAACATGTAGCACCATTGCCTTTTGATTAACTATTGAATAATTTTTTGGAAGTTCTCAGACCTTTTCCTTTACATTCAGCGAGAAGTGCTCTACGATATCTAATATTACAAAATAATTTAAGACAAATGCTTTAAACAAGGACCTTTTCATTCGTCAGCCGCGCTATCCACCTTCCTAAATAATGTGTTTGGATTTTGCGGAGTCTTGAGCCTTTTTAAGAACAACAACGACTTCATTTTACAAATGAACTTAAACTTTAATTTTGCTTTCTTTTCTTATATAGAGTTAACAGAATTGCTTACCCCCGCAGCTACAATAGGTCCAGAAATAATCTAGGCGGGGGCAGGGGTTCATATAAAAAAGAAAGGAATGAAAGAAAAAAGTAATGTTAATTTACAGCAACATTACAAAAGGTACAAGTAAAACAATGTAAACAACTACGGGAAACCGAAAACAAAGTAATAATGTGATGTGTACATATATAAGCGACTAGAATACTATCATTAATAAACTACAAAAATTTAGATAACTTCTGTATCAGTTGGGAGACTTCAATACACAGTATTGTGCCAAAGCAACGCAAGCGATAATCGTCGAATTTCGCACTTTGGTCTAGCAATATTTCGCCCATATCTCGTCGATATCTCGGCGATATATCGCACATATAAGCGACGCGTTGTAACGATAATTCGACGAGATATCGTCGCTTCCCTTTGACATCTTAATACATCAAGGAGTAGTTCCTTCATTATATTTAGCAATTTAAATTTGATTACTAATTTCACTGAATGTGGGATGGAGTTCCAGACTGAAACACCAAATGAAGCATTCATTCGTAGATGATTTGGTGAGGAAATTGTAATTTTTATGATTAAGGTAGTTATTAAAGTATGGTAAATAGTTAATAAGAGACGACATGGGATATAGTGTCTTACTTAGTTTAGCAATAATCCTAATTGATTTACTATTTTTATGACAGATGAAGTCGATGTGATTCTTCCATGAGAGGTCTGAATCAACCATTATCCCGAGATATTTGACGAAGTCTTTCATTTCACGAACTATTTGTACACTTGACATGGGGTCAAGGATCGTAATTTGAGGAACAAAAAGCATAGTCTTTTGACGAGGGCGAAATTAACATAGTTATATTTCTGTACATTTAATGTCAGTTTATTAGCTTTTAGCCTTTCACTACCTTTGGCAAGCTCTAAACTAACAGTTGATTCAAGGGCATGCAAGTCTTTATTTGCATAAATTATACTTGTATCACCTCCAACCAAATATAAGGTAAATTCTGAAGAACATTTATAGATATCATTATTATACAATAAAAACATTAGCGGTCCAAGGACCGAGTCTTGGAGTACACTACAGAGGGTTTTCTCCCCATTAGAAATAATTTACGTTTATCGATTTCAACTGTTTTTTTTTTTGGCTAGCTAAATAAGATTGAAACCAAGTATTTACTATTCCTCTTATACTATAACTTTCAAGTTTAGCTAATAGGATGCTATGGTGAACTGTATCAAATGCGTTTTTAAGATCAATAAAGATACCACCTGTATACTTTCTGTTGTCAACATTGCCTTCTATAGCATTGCGTGCTGTGTTTGCTTCGAAAATGGTATTGGATGTTATAGAGTATATTACTTTTGTCAACAAATTTAGTAAGATTGTTATATATAAGCTTTTCAAATATTCGATTATAAATGGATAACGGCTGGTGAAATAGGTCGATAATTTTCAGGAAGAGTATTATTGTCATTTTTAATAAGTAGAACAATCTTTGCGAGCTTGAATTTTGTTGGGTACAGCCCAGAAAGAATACTATATTAAATGCTTCAGCTAGGGGTATTGATATAATTGACGTTGCCAGACAATAGTCCTTGGTAGTACAGCCCTGGGACCGGTTGTTCGAAAGCCCATTAACGTTAATCCAAGATTAAAAGTTAATCAGAGTTCAAATTTCTCTCGAATAAAAGTGTTTTCACTGTCCATGTTTCCTGGAGTTTGACATTGGTCAAAGCCAAAATCGAAGGACAAAAAATTTAAAGAGAAAACGTCACTGAAAAGTTACAAAATTGAAATAAAAATTTACGCTAATCCTGGATTACCTTAATCGTGCTTTGAACAACCCGGCCCTGGTAGTTGCCTTGAAGTTAAGGATCAGTGTAGACCTCTATCCTGAGATTTCTTCTTTAAGCTGTTCACTGAATGAGCAGCCTCCTTTCCCCTACAGCTCGTTGGCCAGGATTGGGCACGCGAGGCACAGTTAACAGAGATGACTGAGTGATGAGCAAACATCATTTAACAAACATCCGAGACACCATGAATGTTTTAAACGAGGAAAAGGATGTTAAAGAATCAGAGACCAGAGCTGTTAGTGTACAGAGCT